GGCGCTTCTGCAGAGCGGGTATTTGCTAGACTGCATATAGCTTATCACAAAGCGGTGTGTAAGGGCGAACAAGAAACACATGTAAGAATCCAGAAACGTCACGACAGATGACAGAATCACAGAAGTCATGAGTGAGGAAGATCATGAGATAGCAATAGAGCAAACGGGAGGTAGAGAGGGGGTTACAATGCTCTCGGAGATGCAGCTAGGTGTTGTGAATAGTAGAAAATGTTGCGAAATTAAGGCTCAGGGTTATTCGCGATGGCTGGCATATGACGTAATCAGGTAGCTTTTGTAAGGAATTGGTTAATGCATGCCCGGGGCACCTGGATTTGATTGAGCTTCAAGGGCTTTAAGACACACGCAACCCGTCAAACGTCCGTCCAATAACAATAGCAACGAGGTCAAAACACGGTGATCAAATTACCAACCTCCAGTGTAATCACTCAAGGTCAGTTATCATTGAGATCCTACATCTCCTCTCCCGCGCAGGCTTTTTCAAGGGTTATGGAATTCCCTTTTTCTATCTCAGGTCAACTCAAAAGGAGCTTGTTCGCGCGTTCAATTCCAGTGCTCGGAGTTGATTATCCAAATACTGATTCGATAATTCCGACTAAAGATGTATGTGTACTGATTTTAAGGGTTTTAGTGACAAGTGACATCTCGCTGAATGTGAGTTTCGTTCCTCGTTCATCTCAGTACTGTGTGCTTTTGTTAATTCCCCTTGTCACTGATAGTTCTGAACTCTGCAGTCAGCCTCAATCATATCCTCGTCGGTCTTGTTTTGTCGTCCAAAGCGTCCAACTGTTTTTCAAGCACAAAAAGTCGGAACCAAGTGCAATCCCCTTCTCCCACCCCGTTTAGGAAGCTTCAATGCTCAGTTAACCAATCAGTGAAAAGGGGCTAAAAACCCCGATCGAAGGCAAAAATAGCCATAAACGAGGGCGAGATTATGGATAAATAAAATGAAGCGTAACTATGCACAGGAAACACTATGTGGGCAGTGTCAACCCAATAAGTTGAGGAATTCTCTTTTTCCGGCCACACTGACAATTCGAGTACATGCACAAAGATTGCAGCTCTGAATAGGCTTGAGATTTTCCTTCTGCAGGCCAAGTGTGATCAACCCTTCCGCCCATCTACCTCATAATTGAACGAGTAGTGGTAAGTTTTCGTCCTATCGCTGAGGCCCCGGGATCCGGTTAGTCCGCTGTGTCAAACAAAATAGGTGTACCTCTGATACACCACTTGGGTTGAAGCAACTGCTCAGTGTTTGTCCAATGTCCCGATTGGGTAGCTGAAAGGTCCCAATGGAAAATTACCTTTGAAACGTAGCTTTGAATCCAATCGCACAGGATACTCACGCATACAAATGTGTACCGGACTAACCGTATGTCCCATCAATCCATTGCTGGGACAAAGATTGGTCTACGCGCTTCTTTCATTGGATTGTTTAGAGCAACAAACGGACAAGCGAGTGATAATGCAATCATCGAACGAGTGCATTAGTTGAACAGAGGGCTAATGGTCAGGCCACTCTGTGCCGTGCGCAGCATAGACAAGTTGAAATCCTATCGGTAGAACGAGTTGGTATCGAAGTGCTCCATTTACAAATACCTAAATACTGCTTGATTATATTCACTTTCACCCGGGGGGGAGAGTCCATAATTCATTTATCTGTTTAGTTTTATCTCAATCACCTGATTTGTGAGGCGATTCGCGTTTCCGAACTGCAGTGGAATCGCACGCCCGGATAGAGATGAGCATGACGCAAGCAAGATACGCCGCGTCCTGGCTGTTTACCATACTTATTTTTACCGCAAAGTTGAGCGCGCAATTAAAAAAACTGATCAATACTATGTGTATGCGTGTGTCATAATTGTCATGCAATATGTAGTGTTTGGTCCGGTTCACCGAATCACATGAACGGATTTGTAGCCATGGTTCCCATCACCGCATGACAGTGCTTATATGGGGTATGTATGAAATCTATGGTCCGGAGAAAGTTGTTTATTCGATCGGAGCAGGTACGGTTAGATAAACTAGGACGAAGTGAAACCAAAAACTGATATTTTGACAATCAGTTCCGAATTCTCTTTGAGAACCTATTTTTTTGTTGGTTGGTGCTGTCAAAATAGAAGTTCGTTCATCAAAGGAGGCACCCACATTATCAACACACTTTCGCCATTTCAGCGGTCGACGGTGTATCATTTTTATCAGAAAAAAAGCTAAACTGAACAAGATTCTGTTCTGGGTGAGAACCTAGTAAATTTACTTGGCATTGGCTAATTGTGAATGCCTTGATTCATCCAGCTTATCCTATGTGCTGGAGGTGTTTTAATATATGATTTCAGCGAGGCAGATTTTCAAATTCAGAGTCCATAATTGGAAAGTTCAAATCTTTGAACGTAGAATTTCTTATAGAATCCCCTAACTCTCTTAAAATTTATGATAAATTTCGACAGTCCTCGTTACTTTACTTCAAATGCAATTGGTTTGTTGGAGAAATCTGGAGAAATGGTCAAAATGGTCAAATTGATTGTTCAGTATTTGAAGGGTAGAAGTTATGTTGGTGCTTCTGTGGTAATAAAACAGAGATAAAATATAATCTGAAAGCGTCGCACAAACTGGATGCAAATCTGGTCAACATTAATCGATTGATCTCTTACTGCAACGTCTTGAGCTTATGAATGCGATTGTAGCATCATGCGACGGACGTAAGCCATGGCTCAAGCATTAATCGCGCATGATACATTGGTATCGGCGGAGCATGGCCCTATATGATCTTTCAAGGGGAGAGGGACGAACACACACACACACTGAGACGCGTACGAGTGCTAACAAGGTAAACAAGAAAGATACGTCATGGGAATTGGGGAGTGAGTGTGACCGAGGCACGTCTCACAATCGTCATCCCCGCGCTTCAACAGGAGGTTGAGAGGTCCATGCGGCATGGTAATCAACCCGATATCATTGGGAGGTTTGAAAAGTACACGAGCCTGGTGGCTCCGATCAGGTTCACGAGACAGCTTGAAATGACCCACTGGTCACCTGGCAAGCATTTACGGACAGAATTACATATCTGATGGCCTCAGTTACTAAGGTTTTCAGAAAATCAGGGGTCCAAAACTCGCCGATTCGCAACGGCACAAAGAAATGGATATCTCTTCGCAATCGATCTTGGCGAGAATACAATCGATTTCCAAGAGACAGCACCTGGAATAAATATCGACAATTGTGAAACCATTGTACCCAGTTGGTGCGGGAGGATAAGCTGAGGAAACGCTGTCACAGGAAATTCATTTCCTCCCCGTCGCTACCATGCAAGCGTGTCAATATATCGAGGAAAGTAAAGTATGGGATAACTTTAATCAGCTACCTTGGGAAAGTCGCAAGTAACACCCAGGAAGCAGCTGAGATGCTGAAAAACCAATATGCCCAAGTCTTCGACACGTCCAACAACGCGAGACTGCGGCTATCTCGTCGGATACTCTTTCTTCCAAATGCACCGCTGAATACCTTCACATTTGATGCCGACAGAGTGAAATCAAATCTTCTGGGTCTACGTAAGTATTCGGCTCCAGGTGCAGACAATCTACATTCCCAACCGCTTACTGCGTTAGCGGATCACATATCTGAGCCGCTAGCTTTTCTTTTCCAAAGGATGTTTGACTCAACCGTACTGCCCCAATTGTGGAAACAAGGCATAATTTATCCAATTAACAAAGGCGGCTGTCGTAGGGATCCTGCCAAATACCGCCAGGTGACACTCCTACCCGTTCTATCCAAATTCATGCAATCGATCGTAGCGGATTTCTTGATGGAACACTTAGAGAAATACAACCTTCTTTCTCCAGCTCAGCATGGACTCCGTCAAAAGAGATCATGTACTACCAATCTGCTCCTAGCTCAAGATGAATGGACAAAGGCAGTAGACAAAGCGATGCAGTTGATGTGGTTTACCGGGACTTCTCTAAAGCGTTCTGTCGGGGTTAACCGTGAAATACTGCTCCGTAAACTGTACAATTTTGGTATCAGAGACCTCTCGCTTGATTGGATTGCTGCATTTCTCCAAAAAGAACCATGTCCGTTCGAGTCTATAATTCACTGTCCACCCCTATCACCGTTTCTCGCGGAGTCCCCCAGGGTTCTGCGCTTAGTCCTCGACTTTTTCTCTCGTTCATAAACGACCTACCGAATGTCCTAGGACCACATTCATTGTTGTTTGCAAACGACGTCAAACTTTGGAAGACAGTGACAAAAAGTAAGAGTTCGCTGGAACTCCAAGAAGCACTGAATGCAACTCACAAATGGTCTATTGAGAACGACATCCAATTTCACGTCTCCGAATGCAAGGTGATTCCGCTACGCCACCGTGGGTGGTTTCCTTATTTCCTCGGAAACGAATTAGTGCCTCATGCATCGACAGGGAACAAATTGGGTGTGAAAGTCCACGAAGACCTGAGCTGTTTTACTAACTGTGCCAGAGCGTCGTCAAAGCACTCAAACTTAAACGTGTTTTTGGTCGTTTTGAACCATCTTCATTCCCACGTCTGTTATCAGCACACATTCAGCCGCATATTGAGTATGCCATCCAA